ATATTTATATATTCCTAGTTTATGATAAGAAAGTTTCAAGCTAATCTGAGATGGTTAAATAGAAGTCAATCATTTTAATGGAGTTACTGAAGTCATGATGTACATGTGTGATATAAAAAAACTGTTCTGCACTAAACCTAAGAATGAGCCGAACAGACAAACTTCTGTATCAGTGTGTCTGATTCCATCCTAACAGCGTCTCAACACCGCCCCCCTCAGGTCAAACTGAGAACTACAACACTGAGCTCTACAGTGTTTTTTTATTGTTAACATCTTTTTACACAAAGATGAACAATTATGTTTTACTTTGACACCAGAACACTTGCGATTGTAACGCGGGCCCAGTTTCAGACGTTCAGACGGGTATCATATCGAGCTCTGGGCTTCGGCGTCGCAGCTCCTCTGCAGTCTGACATTAACGGGCTCAGATTTGCGGATTAGAGGCTCTAATTGACTCCACAAAGAGGATTCGTCACAGTGGGAGGCTTCAGGCTCGGCAGGCGACGCTGAGGGGAAACTTCCACCTGCAGCCTCCTCCCAGCGTCCTTCTTCTTCCTCCTGCGTCTTCACCTCCTTCATCTTTTCTGCTTCTCTTTCATCTGCCGGCATCAGAGCTTTGTTCGGACGAGCAGCTCCGACGTTCGCACAAAAAAACAAGAGAAGACAATAAAATAAAATTTAAAAAAGCGCCGCCCTCATCTGCTCGGGATCAAACTCGACGGCAGATTTAAATTGAGTTTTCGTGTTTTTTCTAATTCTTTCCTGTTTCGACGTGTTCGTGATATCGCACTCTGTAAAAACCGAGACTTCACAGGAAGCTGATGTCTGAATAAATGAATGAATAAACGCTGGTTATAAGTCAGATGAAGCTTTGTATTAAAATCATGTCGCTGTAACCTTTTCAGAGTAAAAAAACAACATTTCTGAAACGTCCCAGTAATTTCTAGAAGCTGTGTTTGTTCTACGTGGATGAATATAAATCAGACAGATATATTTTAGATTTATTGTGCACATCTGTCATCTCTAATCAAAGCTGGTTATTGCAGCCTCGTTGTTGCAAAAAGCTGGTTTGCCGTAAAGATTTATTGGTTTCGTCTCACGAGCAAACGAAAGACTTGAACAACCTCCCTCGACTTTTGTTGTGAAGTTTTTTCTCCTCTTTTTTTTCCAGGTTTTCCAGCAGAGTTTGTCAGATCTCAACAAGTTGGTGTCTTTTTCTGTCTAAAATGAGCGTTGGAGTTCCTCAGGGATCACGTTTGGGTCCTCTGTTCTTTTTCCTTTTTCTGATTGACTGCAACAGTTATTCACCACCATGGTAGCCTTGTCACGTACAGGAGTTAAGTTTAAAGTGAAATTAAAGTTTTGATTACAAGTTGGTGTCTTTTTCTATCTGAAATGAGCGTTGGAGTTCCTCAGGCATCAAATTTGGGTCCTCCTTTCTTATTTCTGCTTGACTGCAACAGCTATTCACCACCATGGTAGCCTTGTCACTTACAGGAGTTAAGTTTAAAGTGAAATTACAGTTTTTGTTACACGTTGGTGTCTTTTTCTCTCTAAAAATGAGCGTTGGAGTTCCTCAGGGATCAAGTTCGGGTCCTCTTTTCTTTTTCCTTTTTCTGCTCGACTGCAAAAGTTATTCACCATCATGGTAGCCTTGTCACGTACAGGAGTTAAGTTAAAGTGAAATTAAAGTTTTGATTACAAGTTGGTGCAGTTTTATAATTCTAATTATTAATGCTAAACATTTGAAGAAGCTACGTGAGTGTTTAAAGCGGAAGGTTCGAAGCAGCTGAGCATCATCGCAACTTTGAAATACGAAAGAAAAAAATGCTGCTCTGCCTTAAATATGTAACTAACCGCAGCTCTATCGTGCGACCGTAGCAATAAGTCAAACAGAAAAACCATAACGCTGCCACCACCAGGTCAAACAGAGGATTACAACACTGAACAAAAACTAACAATTATATTTTAACCATGTTTGATATTTTAACTTTAATTGTTAAAGACATTTTGAGAAGTGTTTCAACAAAAAACCAAATCGTGATTGAGTCGCAGTTTCTGTTCTTTTTGTATAACAGCATAAATTAATACTTATGTATGTATATATTGTATTACCATTTAACAGAACAAGAAAATCTATGAAATAACAGTTTGAAAAATGTTTAACCATTTTTAGTCCTTCATATAGAAATTTTCTCTCAAGTAACAGCAAATATGTCAAATTGAAAGACAGTAAATTCAACGTAATTTCCAAGTTAAACATTATGAAATAACTAATTCATGAACCATTTATGAAAAATATAGTTTTGTTTTTCATTTTTGGTCATTTTTTTGGGGTGATTTTACTATTATCTGCTAGTAAAAACAAAAAAACCTGTGAATATCTGTTAAACTGTAGAAAATGTTATTTAGCTGTTAGAAACGGTGAACAAACATTTATTTAATACAGCGTATGGCATCGGAGAGTAGTTTGAGGTTAACGAAGTCTCTTCCTGAACGTCCCTTCGTCTGTTTGCCCTCCGGTGTGACGGATCCGTCGCCCTCATGCGGTTCCTCGGGCCGCCCGTCATGCTGCAGAGTTCTGTCTGCCGACTTTACGCCCAGAAAAACCTGCATTTCCATAAATCAGCTGTCAGACGAGGGGGAACAAAAGGCACGGCGGCGGGGACGGTGTTTACGAGCGCGCCACCTCTGATCGTGTCCAAGGTTACGGGCCGAGCCACGCGTCGGTTCTGACCGGGCGGAGACAAACGTCCCAGAGGAGCCGGAAAGGTCACGAATTCATGTTCCGACAAAATCAGTTATTGAGGTTTTGATATGTGAGCAGGAAACTCGATGTGGCCGCAGCAGAGCTTCAGCATCGAGGCAGAAAGAACAACCAAGACATCGGGTTGTATCTGAGGTTCTGTGATTTACTCTGTCGTCTTCGTCTGTCGAGTCCGAACTGATAGAACCTGAATCTGGAAGACAAAGAGTTCGACACAAACACAACCGCGAAGGGACAGTTTGAGATTTCAGGACACAAAGTCGTTTCCTTTGTTGTCATAAGTCTGTTTATGAAGCTACGTCCAGCAGCTGGTTAGCATAGCCTAGCATAAAGAACAAGCAGAGTTTTAGTTCTGTCTTAGGGTTTTGTATCTGTTTGTTGTTGTTTTCTGTTGATTTGTTGTTGTCTTATGTCTCCTTGTTGTTGTTTTGTCTCTTTGTTGTTGTTTTGTGTTATTTTGTGCCTCTTTGTTGTCATCTTGCATCTCTTTGTTACTGTTTTGTGTCTCTTTGTTGTTGTTTTGCGTCTCTTTCATCAGATAAGTTCATTTCCTTTCCAGTAAAAACGACTCCGTCCGTTTGTGACGCTACAGCCGGCGGCTCGTTAGCGTAGCTTAGCATAAGACTTGAAACACTGTCCACGAGCACAAACACACAATAAAAACAAGACGCAGGACGGCAGCGGAATAAACTCATCGTTCCTCGTCGGTTTAATCACAGGACGATCGAACTAAATTAAATCTCCTTGTTTTTAATCTCGGTCCACTTTGGAACTCATAAATAAAGATCTGAGGTGAGTAACGAGCTGCAGGCTTCCCTCGACTCCTTAAATTAAACAGAAGCATTTTACAGAAAACCTTTGTTCCTCCTTGGTTTCACAGTGTTTTAGTGAAACTTGCTGTTCGTCTTTAACGCTTGTTGACTTTTAAATAAGTCCCTTGTTGTCATTTTGTGCTTCTTTATTGTCGTTTTGCGTCTTTTGTTTTCTTTATGTGCCTCTTTGTTTTTGTTTCGCGACTCTTTTTTGGGTTTTTTATTCTCATTTTTTGTGTTGTTTGTGGTTGTTTTGTGTCCCTTTTGTGTGTCTTTGTTACTGTTTTGCATCTGTTTATTGCATCTCAGTCGTTCTGCTTATCATTGTTTTCGTTTCGTGTCTCCTTGTAGTTGTAGTTGTTTTTATTTTTTCCCCTTTTTTTGTCATTTTGTGCCTCTGTGTTTTCGCTTCGCTTCTTTTTGTTTTCTTTATGAGCCTCTGTGTTGTCGTTTTTTGCATCTCTTTTTGGTTTTCTTGCATTTTTCTTGTCATTTGTGGTTGTTTTGCACGTTTTTGTGGTTGTTTTGTGCCGTTTTCATGTTGTTTTGTGTGTTTTTGCTGTCACTTTGTGTCTCGTTGTTGTTTTGCATGTCTTTATTATCAGTTTTTGTGTCTCAGTTGTTTTGCGTATCATCGTTGTCCTTTTGTGTCTCTTTGTTCTCAACTTGCGTCTCTTTGTCGTCGTTTTGTGTCTCTTTTTAGTCTTTCTGTGGTCGTTTTCCTTCAGATTCAGATGAAACTTTTCCAGAAACGTCTCCAACGACACACAAACGACTAAAGACGACTAAACCGAATGAAACAGATCCAGAACCTCACGTAGCTGGTGTCTGGTCGCACAAACAGAACCTCAACGTGAACAAACAAAACTAAACCGTCCAGATTCAGAGTGTGTGGATTCAGGAAACAGCTTCTGACTTCACCAGACATCCTCCAAACATTCACTAAACACCACGAGCGACGGCTCCGGCCACCACGAAGGCGCCGTTCTGACAAGAAACTAAATAAAAGCTGCTCCTCATTTAAAGAAAACTAAAATTAAATTTCCAACAACAGAGGAGGGAAACTTTCCTCTTTGTTGGCGCCGTTGAAAGTTTAATAAAACCAAGATACGGGCTTGCTGCAGATACGGCGGTGCTGACGACGGCGGAATAATGATGGCACATAATCATCATCAAAAGAGTCCTGTGCAGTTCTGTGTCACAGGAAACCCGGGAAACGGCGGAGAGAGAGCGAATGTTCCCGACGATGATTGAGTTTTTCAGAAGTTCTGCTTATTCAGGAGGCAGCGAAATGTGGAGCAGCCACGACTCCGGTTTCTCAGATAAGAGCGTGTGAGGACGAGCCGGTTTCATTCCTAATTTTTTCCGCGTGTAAACTTCAAACTGCGACGTGAGCGGCGCTGAGCCGTGAACGGACTCACCGCTGATGGTGGCTCTCTTGGGCAGGATGGTGATGGCTCCGACGGCGGCGTCCTCCAGCTGGTGGATCGGGCTGTTTTTGGCGCCCCAGCTGTCGGAGCCGATCCACAGGAAGTGGCCCACCTGGTCGGCCCGCTTGCTGGCGTTCAGGATTCCCCTGTGTCCAAACAAAGGCCACAAAGGACGTGAGACTATGAACGACTTGACTGCATCGGCATTCAACAGCTGCACTAATCTGAACAGTTGAATCTTTATTGAACAATCAGGCCCCAAAGTAGAAACTCAACCAAACTGAGTCCAGCTGTGATTTACAATCAGACTAACAGCATCAACAAGGTTCTAAAACAGTCCACAAACAGCAGAACCTTCTCAGCTGTGGACCTTTGGGTTGTATCTATGTCTGCATCATGGCTCCACATGGAGAATATTTGCCAGAAGAACAAAGAAAAAACTAACTGTGACACTTCAGAAAGATGGAAAAGGATCCAAGAAGATCGCTGAGCAACTAAAAATCAGTCAAAGCAGCAGGAACCAGGAGGTCCAGAAGGAACCATAGTAGCTCTGATCAGGGCTGCAGTGGTCGTCCTCCTACAATAACACCAATGACGTCAACAAAGACGTCCTAAACAACACAAAATTACACAAAACGGTAGCAATAAGAGCAGAAAGACACTTCAGAACATCCTCTATGGACGGAGGACAAGAACAAACACCTTTGTTTGCTTTTCGACTCTAAACTTCCAGATGAAACTTTGCTAAAGAACATGAACAGAAGCCTGATGGATGCTGGAGAACATTCTTTGGTCAGATGATAAACTTGTTGGGCTCAGATGGAGTCCAGATGTTTGGTGTGAACCTGACCAGGACCACCACAGTGAGTCCTGAAGGTGAAGCATGGAGGTGGCAGCATCATGATATGAAGAAGTGTTGATGACATTTATAGATGAATGTAAATATAAAGGATATAAACCAGAACACTGTCTGACTAGATGAAGGTTGGAGAAGAGGAAGCAGGAGAACCTGCAACTCAACCAGCGTTTTCGTTACCTGATGTCTTCGTCGGAGGCGAACAGGATGACGGCCCGGGCGTACCGGGTGTCCAGCAGCAGGCGGATGATCTTGTCGAAGTCGGAGGGTTTGTGGTCGTGAGGGATCTTCAGGGACTGAGCGATGCAGATTCCACCTGAGGAGACGAAACAGAGGGCAGCGTTAACCCACAGTAACCCACAGAGGCTTAGACAGGCTCATCTATCGCTTTCACTGTCGAGGACTTTTCCTGGTTTTTCTGTTTCTAAACGTTCATTCGGCATCACGTTGCAAAGTGTCTGTGTGGTGGTGTTGTGTGAATTGTGGTCATTTTGTGTCTCTTTGTGGTTTGTTGGTGTCTTTCTTCCGGTATTTTGTGTCTCTTTGTGAGCATTTTCGATCTTCTTGTGGTTGTGTTGTCATCAGATCGTGTTTCTTTAGAAGCATTTTTTTGTGTCTTTGACAACTGTGTGGGTCTTTGTGGCCATTTTGTGTCTTGTTGTGGTGCTTTAGTGTCTCTTTGTGGCTGTTTGTGGTCATTTTGTGTGGTTTTGTAAGTATTTTGTGTCTCTTTGTGGTGACTTTGTGTCCTTTTCTGACAGTTTTGTGTCTCTTGTGAGAATTTTGTGTCTTCATGTAGTTGTTTCATGTCTTTTTGTGGTTGCATTGTGTGTTTTTCATCAGAGAAATTCATTTTCTTTCTGTCAAAACTCTAC